CTAAGATAAAGCTCCTTCTATGGCTGGAGTGAGCACGGCTGGAAATCTGGCAGGAGGCTTCACAAACAAACTAACTGGGCCTTAGGCTTGGTGCGGTGGATCCGGCTGGTAATCCCAGCAACTTTGGGAGGCCGAGGGGTGGATCATGGGGGTCAGGTGTTTGAGACCAGCCTGGCCAACATAGTGAAACCCATCTCTACTTAAATACAAAAAAATTAGCCAGGCATGGTGGTAGAGGCCATATGATCTCCGGCTACTCAGGAGGCTAAGGCAGGAGAATCGCAGGAGAGCCGAGATTGCACCACTGCCACCAGTTCGGGAGACAGTGCAAGACGCCATTTTTCTCGCCAAAAACAAACAAAAAAACCTAAATGTGTCTTTAATAACCTCCCGTTGCAGGTTTAATATCAGCCTTAGCTTGGATTCACTAGGTTCAAGCTTTAATTTCCATGTCAGAGTTATTCCCTTGGTTTTTGAAACTAAATGTTTGAAAAATCCAGTAAAATTACTTAAACACAGCGTTTACATAAGGGAAAGAAATTTTAAGGTGCTTACTTTATTTTTTTTATTTTTTTGAGACGAAGTCTTGTGCTGTTGCCCAGGCTGGAGTGCAATGGCATGATCTAGGCTCACTGCAACCTCTGCCTTCTGGGTTCAAGCCATTCTCCTGCCTCAGCCTCCCAAGTACCTGGGACTACAGGCATGTACCACCACACCTGGCTAATTTTTGTATTTTTACTAGAGATGGGGGTCTCACCATGTTGGGCAGGCTGGTCTCAAACTCCTGACCTCAAGTGATCGACTACCCTTGGCCTCCCAAAGTGCTGGGATTACAGGTATGAGCCACTGCACCTGGCTAAGGTGCTTGCATTTTATACCACCATAAGAAAAGCAAATATATCTACTTCTTTCAGACAATATATGTATTACTTTATTATTTCTATTAAAAATAATGTAAAAAATCAGTCATATGGGAACACTTCTAGAAGCACCCCGTTTCATCACATATAATTTAGTATTAAACTCAGAAATCAAGACAACAGAATATAGAACCGAGATATTCACTGTCACAAATTTACCATGCAAAAAGAGGAACTGATGTTTTGATGAATCTATGTAACTCATCAATAATCTAACACATTTTTCTGTGGAAATATATTCATTGTCTATAGCAGAATGAAAGAGGTTTAGGTTTTCCCCATTTTTTTCCTTGGCAGTTAGCATTCTTTGTTTTGTTTTTTTTTTTTTTTTAAAATGACAGAGTCTAGCTCTGTCATCCTGGCTAGAGTGCAGTGGCATGTTCTTGGCTAACTGCAACCTTCACCTCCTGGGTTCAACCGATTCTCCTACCTCAGCCTCCTGAGTAGCTGGGACTACAGGCATGTGCCACCACGCATAGCTAATTTTTGTATTTTTGGTAGAGACAGGGTTTCACTATGTTGGTTAGGATGGTCTCGATGTCCTGACCTTGTAATCCACCCGCCTCGGCCTCCCAAAGTGCTAGGATTACAGGCATGAGTCACCGCAGCTGGCTGTAGCTAGCATTCTTAAAGCTAAGGCTTGGAATTCTGTTTGAAATCATTCAGTCATAAAAAACACACTTGAGAAAATTCCTAAATTCATTCTGGGAAAGAAAAAGGTAAATGGGAATTATTAACAAATGGAATATATGATTAAACACTAATTTTTTGAAACACATCTCTTTTATGTCCTTTGTAAATATTTTCTTACCTTTCAAGCCCTACTAATAAAATGTAGATTATAGTAAAAAAAAAAATGATGCAGGTGGGTGCAGTGACTCATGCCTGTAATCCCAGCATTTTGTGAGGCCAGAACAGGTGGATCACTGAAGACCAGAAGTTTGGAACCAGCCCTGTCCATCTCTACTAAACATACAAAAACTAGCCTGGTGCAGTGGTGCGCACTTGTAGTCCTAGCTACTCGGGAGGCTGAGGCATGAGAATCACTTGAACCCAAGAGGCACAGGTTGCAGTGAGTTGAGCTTGAGCCACTGCATTCCAGCCTGTGCAACAGAGTGAGACTGTCTCAAAAACAAACAAACAAAAACCAAAACCAAAACAAACAAAAAAACCTGAGGTCAAAATAAGTGAACCAATCTTTTCAAGGTACAGATCCAATTATCCACCCCACCCTGTTCACTTACATGCTCAAAAACCACCCTCCCAGGAGACACTGCACTATGCCCCCATGAATGTTCCAGGTGCATTTTATGCTATCTTACTGTGGGGTCAGATTTTTGTCTTTTGGAGGTTTGGGTTTTTTTTTTTACAAATTTTTCATGATTTTTCTTTCACTATTTTTCTGCCACACCCAAGAGAATCCAAGGGGCATAAATTATTTGGTTTTCCCTCAATACCAGCATCTGATTGGCTGACCAGCAATGTGTCTCCAAGAAACGGAAGCTAGGTTGGATGAAGACAATCTTCAGGTCTCAAGGGGTTAGCTTTTCCAAAAACAAACAAACAAAAAAATGCACCAGGAGATGCCTTTCAGCCCCAAGGCTGCCACCTGCTCCCTTGCGAGGCTACACTCCATACTTCAGGTAGTCCTATGGGAGAAAATGACCAAGGGCTAATAGTCACTAGACACTCTAGCAGACATAGCCATGGTGGGTATCTTGGTTTATCCCCAGAAAGTACTAAAACCCAGGACCAGAAAAAAACAGAAAGTTGCCTGAGGACACATCACCCTATAAAGTTTCCGAAGAGTAATCTTGACCCGAAAGCATTCCGTTAAGTTCTCTGGCAATATAAAGGAAAAAGAGGCACAGATATTTTTTACAATACAGTGTCAGGGGGGTATTCCTTGCTTTCTTCTCATAAGAACTATTTACAAACAAAAAACAAATCTTTCCATTAGTGTTATGAAATGCTTTAAACAAATTATTAATTGAGGAACATGGGGTACACTTGAGGCCCTGCTTCGGACACATGTGAAAAATGCCAGGGATAATCAGACCCCTATGGGGTGTGAAAATAATTAAGGGGCAGGCAATTAGACTGAGGAGGCTCTAGTCCCCGGATTCCTACTTCTAAAAAAAAAAAATCTAAACTCAAGTGCATTTTTTGGTAAATTACATTAGGGGAAACAAAATTCAGGCTTAAAGAGCTATAAACTGCCAATTAAGCTCTGAATACATAACCAGGAAATTTCCACCTTGATTGCACAAATTAAGAAACTACGCAACTCTATACCTAACCCATTATTGAATTTGGTTTTCTTCATCATGCACCTTATAAATGTCTTTTATTCAAGCCTCAACCATGGACCACAAAACTACAAAGCTGGGTGCTCCACAATTCTTGAATCACTCTTTGATTAAATTATTTGATATTTTGGCAGTGACTCACATAATTTTTTTTTGAGCCAGGGTCTTGCTCTGTCGCCCAGGCTGGAGGGCAGTGGCGTGATCTCACTTTACTGCAACCTCCGCCTCGCAGATTCAAGACATTCTCTCACCTTTGCCTCCCGAGTAACCAGGGTACAGACATTCACTATCACACCCAGTTAATTTTTGTATTTTTAGTGGAGATGTATTTTGGCCAGGCTGGTCTTGAACTCCTGACCTAAAGTGATCCACCAGCCTCGGCCTCCCAAAGGGTTGGGACTACAAGCGTGAGCCACCGCGCCCGGCCCCATAAATTCTTAATTGGTCAAAAGGAAACTGTGAACGCCACGACCAAAGCTCTCCCCATGCATGAATCCGCACTCCGAATCAGGATTCTCCCCTGACGACCCTCCCCTTGGTCCCTGCACAATCTGGGAGAGACGTGGCGCTGCCGGTGCAGAGCTGCCCGGAGAGGGCACCAGGCCAGGGCACAGTCACCACGCAGGGAAGAGACAGGACGCCCGGGGCCCCGGCTGTCAGCGCAGCCGCCATCTTATGGCTGAAGGGGACTGAGGCCGAGCTGGGCAAGGAGAACTCCGGGCGCCGATTGTGGAGCTGACTGCAGGGAGACCTGAGGGCCCGCTACAGCCACCTTCCACTGGTTTCAACCAGCACCCCCCCACCCCGCCCACCTCCCGAGATGTCGGACCGGACACATTCACCATTTCTACGTTTCCAGGGGGTCCCGGAGTCTTAGCTGTGGATCTTTCAATACGTTCAGGTCACAGGACCACATAAGCTGGGCCTGTAGGAGCAGAGGACACAGAGCAGTGAAGACAAGTCCTTGAGCTCCAGCTGCAGGGAGAGACAAAGGCCCCGCCAAATCCGAAGCCGTTCTGTTCGCTCCAGCTGCGTGCCTGATTGGACGGTTTCCAGCCCGATGTCCCCGATTGGATAATGCTGAAGGCCCCGCCCCCGCAGGCCCTGAGTGACAAAAGATGAGATCAGATGCTGGGCTGAATGAGAAAAGAACAGCTTAACCTGCAGACTTTTCAGGCAGGGCTTCCTCCCTGAGCTAAGCCAGTCCCATCCCAGAGCATGGGAATATTCTCTCTTTTACTCTCTGTTTTTGAATGTATTCAAAAGGTGAACAGAAGTATTTTGCTGTCATATTAATAATACCTACAATTTTTGTTAAAGAGAAAATCAACTTTTACTTTGGTAATAGTGTATTATCTATACTAAAGCTAATTTTAATATAACTTTATAAATAAACCAAATTTGTCATTTTTGACCACTCCAGATTTACATATATATTTTGTAATCTTTTGTATTTTTTTAACTTTTTATATTTGTATTTACATTCTTTTTAGTTTTTCAGTTTGAAACAACCTTTCAGTAATTTCAAACTGCTATAGGAGATAGAAAGAAATCATTTAGGGCCAGGCACTGTGACTCACGCCTGTAATCCCAGCACTTTGGGAGGCCAAGGTGGGAGGATCGCTTGAGGTCAGGAGTTCAAGACCCGCCTGGCTAACATGGTGAAATCCCATCTCTACTAAAAATACAAAAAATTAGCTGGGCATGCTGGTGCACACCTGTAGTCCCAGCTACTCCGGAGGCCGAGGCAGGAGAATCGCTTGAACCCAGGAGGCAGAGGTTGTGTAACAGCTCAAGGGGCTCACGTTGCCCTTTGCCTAGACAGAGCCAATTCATCAAGACAGGAGAATTTGTGGAGGAAAAGTTAAATATTAAATTTGAACTCAATTGAACGTGGACACAAACAATGGTCACCAAGTCCTAGAACAGGTTGTGTGAGCCCCTTGAGACGATCATCCAACTCTGTTATGGAGAAATCTCTATTTCAATCTATTTTTATACTTTAGTTATTGAAAAACGATAGACAATTGCAAAAAAAACAAGTTGACCTTATTGTGTTCCTTGGGCCCAGTCGCCAAGGACCTTTGTGACTTGGCCTTATGGTAAACAACTCATTACAACAAGAGCTAGTGTCCCAGACACGCGGAAGCTTCATGAGACCTCTCCTCATCTGTGTCCGGACGGGTGGCTGAATCTGGAGCCAAAGCTGTTGCTTCTCAGTCTGGTCGTGAATCCTCCATAGTTTGGTGAGTGTAAGATCTGACTCTGGAGCCCAGGCTGTTGCTTCTCACTCTGGTGGTGAATCCTCCATAGTCTGGTGTGGAGGAAAAGTTAAATATTAAATTTGAACTCAATTGAACGTGGACACAAATAATGGTCACCAAGTCCTGGAACAGGTTGTGTGAGCCCCTTGAGGCATTTTTCCAGAGCTGTTTTGGAGAAATCGCTATTTCAATCTATTCCTACACATTAGTTGTTTAAAACAATAGACAATTGCCGGGCGCAGTGGCTCAAGCCTGTAATCCCAGCACTTTGGGAGGCCGAGACGGTCGGATCACGAGGTCAGGAGATCGAGACCATCCTGGCTAACACAGTGAAACCCCGTCTCTACTAAAAAATACAAAAAACTAGCCGGGCGAGGGGGCGGGCACCTGTAGTCCCAGCTACTCGGGTGGCTGAGGCAGGAGAATGGCGTAAACCCGGGAGGCGGAGCTTGCAGTGAGCTGAGATCTGGCCACTGCACTCCAGCCTGGGCGACAGAGCAAGACTCTGTCTCAAAAATAAATAAATAAATAAATAAAATAAAACAATGGACAATCACAAAAGCAAGTTGATTTTTTTTTTGTTCCTTGAGACCAGTTGTGAAGGGCTCTGGTGACTGGGCCTCATGCCAAACAACTTATTACAAAAGAGCTTGCGTACTAGACTGCACTGAAGCTTCATGAGACCTTTCCTGGCCAACTCTGGAGCCCAGGCTGTTGCTTCCCAGTCTGGTGGTGAATCCCCCATAGTCTGGTGAGTGTAAATATATAGATATCTCTTTTTTCTTCTCCTCTTCCCATTGCAACTTGCTTGTTATATCAATCTGCTTCTTATATTGATTTGCTTATTATATCATTTATTTATTATATCTGCATTGCCATTTACATGGGATAAAGCTTGTTTACTCTTAAATGTATTGTGTGTGTCTTTTCTTCTCCCCTCACACATTTCCCATACAGCTCATTTTTGGCATCACAAACAGGATTCGAAAACAAAAGTGTGGCCGGGTGCGGTGGCTCAAGCCTGTAATCCCAGCACTTTGGGAGGCCGAGATGGGCGGAGCACGAGGTCAGGAGATCGAGACCATCCTGGCTAACACAGTGAAACCCCGTCTCTACTAAAAAATACAAAAAACTAGCCGGGCGAGGTGGCGGGCACCTGTAGTCCCAGCTACTCAGGAGGCTGAGGCAGGAGACTGGCATAAACCCGGGAGGCGGAGCTTGCAGTGAGCTGAGATCCAGCCACTGCACTCCAGCCTGGGCAACAGAGCAAGACTCCGTCTCAAAAAAAAAAAAAGAAAACAAAAGTGTGTCGCTTTTTTGTCCACAAGGATGGGGCTGAAAGCTCAGAGACTTTCCATATCCTGGGATGGGAACTCCTCCAGTTTTCCCTTTGGTGGTTGAATGGTCCAGGGGAACTGGCCTTTGTGAGAATTGGGAATCTAAATTAGCGCAATTTAAACCTTTGACTGTGTGTGAAGTGCTGCAGGGGATTCCAGTCACCAAAGGACACGCTGAGGGGATCTCCCAAAGTGGATAGTGTTTGCTTACTGCTTATAAGTTAATGTATCAAGAGAGGGGCTGGTTGCTACAAAAGAAATGTAAGCTGGAAAAGGAAAATGCTACTCTGACTTCCAGACTGACCCGGGCCCAATGCCAGGCCTATGTCTTGACTGATCGGGCTCAAAGCTATCAGTGTATTGCTGAAAAAACAGCTGTCCGAATGGCTGGTCAGGGTAAAAGTGAAGAATTAGTCAGCTGGGGCTTGGAGCAGGTAAAAGCCCAGCTCCTATTTCAAGGATGGTAAATTAACCTAGTAAAATTCAAGGAACTGCACAAAATGTAAAATTCCTTGACATCCTATGGAATGCAGGGAAATAGTCCATTTTACCAAAGGCTAAGGCTAAAATACTAGAATTCGCAACCCCTACCGCTAAAAAGGAGGCCCAGAAATTTATTGAATTGTTTGGATTCTGGAGACATCATATTCCCCACTTGGGTAACATTTTACAACCTCTGCATGCAGTCACTAGAAAATGCTATGACTTTCATTGGGGAGAGACAGACAGCATGGCTTCTGAACAAGCTAAACAAGCGGTGCAACCGTCCCTAGATCTATGGTCCATACAGGATGGGCCAGGAGAACTGCAAGTAACTGTCCTAGATCAACATGCTAATTGGAGACTTAGGCAGAAGCAAGATGGGAAGAGGGTACCTCTTGGGTTTTGGACCCAGAAACTGCCAGAGGCCAGCAAAGCTTATACTCCTTTCTGGAAGCAATTGTTAGCTTGCTATTGGCTTTGCCGGAAACAGAACACCTCTGCTTCAACCTGTGGGGAAAAGAAAGAAAGATCAGACTGTTACTGTGTCTATATAGAAAGAAGTAGACTTAAGAGACTCCATCTTGTTCTGTATTTGAGATGCTGTTAATCTGTGACCCTACCCCCAACCTTGTCCTTGCAAGAGACATGTGCTGTGGTGACTTAAGGCTTAATGGATTTTGGGATGTGCAGGGTGTGCTTTGTTAAACAAGTGCCTGAAGGCAGTTTGCTGGTTAAAGGCCATCACCATTCTCTTAATCTCAAGTACCCAGGGACACGTACACGGCCAAAGGTCGCAGGGACCTCTGCCTAGGAAAGCTAGGTATTGTCCAAGGTTTCTCCCCATGTGATAGTCTGAAATATGGCCTCATGGGAAGAGAAAGACCTGATCATCCCCTAGCCCGACACCCGTGAAGGGTCTGTGCTGAGGAGGACTAGTACAAGAGGAAAGAAGGCCTTTTGGCGGATGTTGGCAGTTAAGATAGAGAAAAGCATCTGTCTCCTGCCTGTCCCTGGGCAATGGAACATCTCCGTGTAAAACCCGATTGTATGCTCTGTTTACTGAGATAGGAGAAAACCGCCTTACGGCATAAGGTGGAACTTGTTGGCACAATGCTGCTAAAAGGTTTATGGAGATGTTTGCATATGCATCTCAAGGCACAGCATTTTCCTTTGAACTTATTCCTGTCACAGAGCTCTTTATCCATATGTCTTACTGCTAATTTTCTCCTTACAATGATCCTATTGTCCTGCCATTCCCTTATCTTTAAGATGGTAAAAGATAATTATCTATAAATACTAAGGGAACTCAGAGACCGGTGCCAGCGTGTGTCCTCTGTATGCTGAGCCCTGGTCCCCTGGGTCCACTTTTTCTTTCTCTATACTTTGTCTCTGTGTCTCATTTCTTTTCTCAAGTCTCTCATTCCACCTAATGAGAAACACGCACAGGTGTGGAGGGGCAGGCCACCCCTTCACAACCATAATGTCTTTTTGAGGCCTGAAATTCCTATTATGACTTAGGTCATGAGTTCCCCCAAAACTCACCTGATAGGGCATGCCCAATGAAGTAGCATCATAGAATGGAAATGGTACATACAAGACCAGGCTAAGCCGAAACCAAATGGGGTATCATTTGTGTTTTGAGACAGAGTCTCACTCTGTCACTCAGGCTGGAGTGCAGTGGCTTGATCTTGGCTCACTGCAACCTCTGCCTCCCAGGTTCAAGCGATTTTCCCGCCTCATCTTCCAGAGTGGCTGGGATTACAGGTGAGCACCACCACGTCTGGCTAATTTTTGTATTTTTAGTAGAGACGGGGTTTCACTATGTTGGTCAGGCTGGTCTCGAACTCCTGTCCTCGTGATCCACGCTCCTCAGCCCCCAAAGTGCTGGAATTACAGCGTGAGCCACCGCGCCCGATAGGGGTATTATTTTTACATGAGGATGTACAAAACCTGTCAGCTCAGGAAACCACTGAGCAAGTCCTGCAGATAGGAAAGAAAACCTACCACATCTAATGGGGCAAATCCTTTAAAGAACTAAGCCCAGAGGATCAGAAACATGCTTGGTTTACTAATGCATCCCCCAATGGGACCTGATGCTGGGAGGCCATGGCTTATAATCCTGTTAAAAACATCAGCATTTCTGATGAAGGAAGGGGTGGGAGCAGCCAGTTAGCTGAACTAGTAGCCATCCTCGGAGCTATTCAGGAGGAGGCCAGAGGGATTTGTCACTTGTATACCAACTTTTGGTCAGTAGCAAATGGTCATACTAGCTGGATGCCCCAATGGTAACGAAATGAATGGTTAATTAGGAATAAAGAAGTTTGGAGAAAACAATACTGGGAAGACAGCTGAATCCTGGCACACACTATTATTACCGCTCTTTTCCATGTTGATGCAAATGTGTCTCTGCTTTCTCTTGACAGGCTATTTAAACAGCGGGAAGATCAACAGGCCAACATTTCCACCATAACTGCAAACTTGAATGTGGATTAATGGGTTACAACGTGTTCAAGCCTTGGAATGAGAGGCATCATAATGTATGGTGGTATAATTGATAGCAATTACAGGCAAGATATAAAGGTCATTTTATATAATATCACTCCAGATTCTTTTGCTATAAAACCACAGATGCAGGTTGTTCAATTGTTAGTGGCACCTTGTCAACAGTTAACCCCTGAGGAAATCTCTGCCCCAACAGAGGCTACATACAGAACTGGGAGATGAGATCCACTGGTACAGGCAGCTTAAATTCTGGAGCCAAAATATAAGCGTTCATCAGATCCCATTCCTAAGGCTGGTGACCTTGTAGCTATGGGGGCAGAAAATAAAGGCATAGTACCATTTCCTAAAAATGAAAAACAATATCGTGTTCTCCTCTGCTTTTGTCATTACAGGGAGTAACCTATCTACTAATTATCAGCACCTGGGTCTTTGTATCTGAGGCCAAGAAAAAATTCATCAGCTGGGTAGCCACCGCTGCAACAGAAGCCAAATGCTGTCAATGTTGGCTATATGTTGAGTTGCCGGAGACCACTTGGAATGGGCTACCTTGGAGAATCATCCCTGACAACATTTCTGCAAGGCTATGTCGTTACCAGTGGGGCCACAACAACAACACTTGCAATCCAACCTGGACTTCCTTTGACCACACTAAGCAATCCATGTTTGCCAAGTCAGAAAAAGATGAACTCCACCCTCATGTTGCATCAAAAGCCTTGGTATTCTGCCCAATATGCCTGGAATGGAATATATTGAGAACCTACTGTGCTGGTGGCCAGATTTGATATAGCATCCCCTTTGTCTGGAGGCCTTAAATGGAGTTTTTCCAGACAATTGTCAACACATACTCCAAATCGACAACATCGCACCCAATGAAACACAATCTCATTCTTACTTTAATAACACATTAGTACACTATGATTACAGTAGCTCCATTGCTGTCCCCTGAGGGGGCTCTTGGTATGCAGATCCTATGGGTGATGGTACCTGTCCCTGCATTGAATGGAGGGGATGGACTTGGGGATGGCCATTAATTCCATTCACCATCGGGGATAATATTCCCCTCCCCAGTAATCTAGATGCTTACAAACATCACTAGTTATGAATGTGCTGGCCTCCCTGGTGGTGATATTTTATAACAGTATTTTCCCTTGCTGCTGGTACAATCCTGCTTCAGCAACAAATTAAAACATTAACCTGCCGGGCGCGGTGGCTCAAGCCTGTAATCCCAGCACTTTGGGAGGCTGAGACGGGCAGATCACAAGGTCAGGAGATCGAGACCATCCTGGCTAACACGGTGAAACCCCGTCTCTACTAAAAAATACAAAAAACTAGCCGGGCGAGGTGGCGGGCGCCTGTGGTCCCAGCTACTCGGGAGGCTGAGGCAGGAGAATGGCGTAAACCCGGGAGGCGGAGCTTGCAGTGAGCTGAGATCCGGCCACTGCACTCCAGCCTGGGCGACAGAGCCAGACTCAGTCTCAAAAACAAAAAAACAAAACAAAACAAAAAACATTAACGTTACATACAGAAAAATCTCTTAATAATAGTAGCACTGAACTTACGTTTTTATCAGATGAATTTGCTCAGCTGCATACTTTTGTGTTGCGAAATCAAATGGCATTAGAGAGGCTTACCGCAGCCCAAGGAGGGGTTTGCTCCTTGCTGCATACTAAATGTGGTGTGTATATTCCTGGTAATTCTCACAATGTTACACTTCTTGCAAAGCCATGCGGAATTTGGTTTTTATTCATTGCGCTTTTAATTCTCCTGTGCTTACCCTGTATCTGTAATCTCTTTCAACTTTGCCTTCCCCATATATCTGTAAGAGTATTTTCCTACAATTGAGTATCCAAATGTGGTCAAATGTGGAGGAAAAGTTACATGTTAAATTTGAAATCAGTTGAACATGGACACAAACAAGGGCCACCAAATCCCAGCACAGGTTGTGTGAGCCCCTTGAGATAATCATTCAGCACTGTTTCAGAGAAACCTCTATTTCAATCTATTCCTATACATTAGTTACTAAAAAAATAGACAACCACACAAAAACAGCTTGACCTTTTTGTGTTGCTTGAGCCCAGTCGCGAAGGGCCCTTATGACCGGGCCTCATGCCATACAACTTATTACAAAAAGAGCTAGGGTCCCAGACCGCGCCAAAGCTTCAGGAAACCTCTCCTCATCTGTGCATGGATGGGTGGCTGACTCTGGAGCCCAGGCTGTGGCTTCCTGGTGTGGTGGTGAATCCTCCATAGTCCGATGAGTGTAATGTCTGACTCTGGAGCCCAGGCTGTTGCTCCCCCATCTGGTGATGAATCCTCCATAGTCTGGTGAGTGTAAACATATTTATCTCTTTTCCCTTCTCCCTTTCCCATTGCAATTTGCTTATTATATCAATTTTGCTTACTATATCTGCATTGCCATTTACGTGGAATAAAGTTTGTTTACCCTTAAAGGTATTGTGTAGGTGCCTTTTCTTCTCCCCTTATGCATTTCCTGCACAGAACACAGAATATTTCTCAGAGGTTTTGTTTGTTCCTGTTTATTCTTTTTTCTTTAATCTTGTCTGCGTGCTTTACTTCACCAAGGTGGTTTTTAAACTCTGATATCCTTTCTTCTGCTTTATCAATTCAGCTATTGATACTTTTGTGTGCTTCATGAAGTTCTCGTTCTGTGCTTTTCAGCTCCATCAGGTCATTTATGTCCCTCTCTAAACTGGTTATTCTAGTTAGCAGTTCCTCTAACCTTTTATCAAGGTTCTTAGCGTCTTTGCATTGGGTTAGAACATGTTCCTTTAGCTCAGTAGTTTGTTATTACCCATCTTCTGAAGCCTGCTTCTGTCAATTCATCCATCTCATCCTCTGTCCAGTTCTAAACCTTGCTGAAGAGACATTTTGATCATTTGGAGGAGAAGAGACACTTTGGCCTTTCAGCGTTTTTTTTTTGATTCTTTCTTATCTTCGTGAGTTTGTCTAGTTTCAATATTTGAGGCTGCTGACCCTTGAATGTT